CCCCCCCCACTTGTTTATTTCTAGGAGTGAAGCTGATCTCATCAGCCTTGTACAGGCAGGGCACACCCCTCCCTGTCAGGGCTTGGCCTGGCGTCTCCTGGCTCCTGGGGCCCCCCAGGCTCTACACAGCCAGGCTGCAGCTTTTCTGGCTGTGGCCTGTGGATCTAGAAGCCCTCCAACCTCACCTCCCCCAAGCCTGGTGGGTTTCCTACCCAGAGAGGGGAAGAGAGGCTCTGAGCCAAAACAGCAAGCTCAGACCGCAGATGGAAACCAGGCAACAGGCCAATGGAGGAGGCTGAAGCAGATTAAAACAACAAGTAGTGTTTGTACAGAACTTCCAGTTACAAAGTGCTTCCATGGATGTGATCTGGCTGGGCTCATGGGAGCAGCCTCCTCCCGCGGCTGGCTGGGGTTACGGATGGGCTTAGCGCACATGGCTGTGTGACTGAGGACAACTCCCTGCCCTCTCTGGGCCTGTGTTTCCTTCCCCATGAAAGGATGATCCCAGGCCCCCATCCAGCCATTCTCTGGTTTTTTGAGAGCCAAAGAGCTGCCAGACATCAGTGAAACAACTCTTGGATTCTGCTGTGCCAACACGATTCCCCTCATCATGGTCAGATGTTGAAGCTAGGCAGCTCGGAACGGGCAGTGAGGTTCCCCATGGGTTTCTGTTAGGAACTGGTAAGGCGGGCTGGGGGAGAGGGCCCCTCGGCCATGGAGGGGCCCAGCTATGAGGAGGAGCCCAGGCCAGGGCTGCAGATCATGCTTGTTGGCCAGAAAGTTCCAGATAGATCCGCAGATGAGGATATTGAAGCCCCCAGAGTGGGGAGAACTTGCCACGTGACCATCTCTGACTATGGCCTGAGCAGGGGAGGTCATAAGGAGAGGTGGTGGGCAAGCTGGGCCGCAGCGCAGAACTGGACTCCTGACAGGCTGCCCCAGTCCCTTGGCTGCTCCCAAGACTGCAGGCCTCACCTTGGGTTGGCAGAGCTTGGGGCTGGGCCAAGCGCTGGAGGAAGGGAGGGGAGGGGTTCAGGCACATCCCACCCTCCCTCACCCAGGCCGAGGGCCTCCTCAAAAGGACACCAGACCAGAGGAAGGAGCGCAGGGACACAGCCTCTCTGCTCTGTCTCAGCTTCCATGTCCTTGAAGCCCTTCCTGCTGTCTAGTCAGAGATGTCACCTGTCCTCTGAGGGACCCAAGCACCTGGTCTGCCTCTCCTCACTGCCCAGTTCAGTTCAGCAAGCCTGTGTCAAGGACTACTGTTAGCCTTCTACGGGGTAGAAGAGTTGCCGTTTATGGTGCTCGGGCACCATGCTGAGCTCCCCACTTCCTCCTCACGGCAGCCTCACGATGGCTCAGCCCCATCACTCCCACTCCGCACAGGGGGATACTGAGGTTTGGATGTTGAGCCACTTGCCCGAGGTCACAGAGCTAGTGAGGAGTGGAGGCCAGGAGTGAACCCCTTCCAGTCTATGGGCACCTCACAGGCTGGGGCTGTGGTTTTTCATCTCTCTAGATCCCAAGGCGACCACTGAGGTCAGGCATGCATTACCTACAGGGGATTGCTTCTTTATTCCAACAGACCCCCCGCCCCCCGTTCTGCCCCCTGCCTTCCCTTTCCAGCCCACTCGAGATCAAATTTCCAAACATCTGTTGTTCTAGCTGGTGACAATCTCCCATTGCCAGTGGGATGTGTGGGCGGGAGCAAGTGTGTTTATGGGCACAGGAGGAGGGGACAGGGCACGGGGACTGCAACGGTACCCAGGGCCGGCAAGCACAGGGCTTAGCTGTTGTCAGCATGAGACTGACTTGGTTGCCAGGGGCACTATTTGGGAGGGTTGCTGTGGGTTCACGGCCATCTCCTCCCCATATTTAGAATACTGGCTGGCACATAGTAGGTCCCCAGTAAGCACGTCTGTAGTCAAGAGATGTTCTTTAAGGATGTTTTCTCGTTTTCTGGCTTGGGTGCCCGGGGCCTTGCATCCGGGTGCAGGTTGGTTCCCACCCTCGGCCCCTGCCCACAGCCCCAGTGGGGCGCACCCTACCTGATTCGAAACTCCTCGACCTTCTGGAGCACCTGCAGCAGGTTGGCCTCCAGCTGTCCCCGCTCCTGGCTCACTTTGAGCAGCTCCTCCTGCAGCCGGCCCTGGTACTCCTCATAGAGGTGCCCGAGGTCAAAGGTGCCGGAGTCCTGGCCTTGCAGGAAGCGCCAGCGGGTCTCCAGCAGCTGGTTGCGCTGCTCGAGGGCCTGCACCTGGGAGAGCAGGGGAACGGCGGTGAGAGGGCCTGGCGCGGACAGGTCGGGCGCGGAGGCCCCTGGACAGCCAGCCGGCCCGCATGGGGGCCTCCCCGGGCAGTGGCGGCTCATCTGTTCTGCGCTCACCCCCCCGGGGCCTCACTGGGCGCAGCCGGATCACATCTCCAACTGCGGATGGTTCACACAGAAGATGGCAAGATAAGGAGGGAATCAGAAAGGGGTGGAGCCAATTAGCCAAGGTTTCTTCGGGGAGGAGCAGGGCGCAAGAGAGGAGGGAAGGGGCTGAGTGGGCCCATGAGGTGACAGGCCCTCCATGCCCGCCTGGGGCTTGGTTGGGAGATCCCAGGGAGCACAGGGTGTCAGAGGCCTGTCTGCCGTCCCCCCCCCCGCCCCCTCAACCTGACAAGCCTAGTCTCATCTTGCCGTGGAAGCTCAGCGGTGCAGGGCCTGGCGAGGACTTCATTGTTAATGCTCCAGACAACCCTGGACTTGTAGCCTCTCCAGGCCTCAGTTTCCCCAGCTAGAAGTCGGGGCTGACACGGCCTGGCCCTGGCCGCCTCTCAGGGCTGTTTGGGAGAGGAAGCTGGGGCCGTGCTCTGGAACAGTAATACTAGCAAGTGTTTATGCGTTCCCTGCTGTGAGCCAGGCCTCGTTCTAGATACTGGACATCTTCGCCTCATTAGTCCCCACGTCCTGATGGGCTAGGTGTAGTTGTCCGCCGCACTTTACAGAGAGGCCAAATAACTGGCCCAAGGTCACAAAATTAGCAAGTGGCAGAGCCAGGTGTGGAATCCAAGGCAGTGGGGGTTTAGACTCTTTTAACCCCCACAACATGGGGCTCTGTCTGTGGCTGGAGTCACCGCGGGCCCTGGGACCCACCTGCCCTTCCTGGACTGACGTCTGCCTCTAGTTGGGGCCGGCGTTGCCTTGAGGGTGACAACGGGGAGGGCTCTGGGCACAGCTGCTTCTCTCAAACTGCCTCCTTCCCTCTCTCCCGTTCACACTGCTGCAGGGCCTCCCGCGGCTCCCGGCCCAACCACTGCACGCTGTCAGGATCCCTCTTGAATCCTCTCCTGCCCTCCACCCAGTCCAGCCCAGGGCAGCCTGGGGGGCCCCCTGCCTCTGCCCAGGCTGCCTGTTCTCTCCAGGCTCCAGCCTTCCTCTGACTGTCCTTTCTACCATCCCCGTCCCTCCCCGTTTGCGCTCCCAGCTCCCCTCCTGCAGGAAGCCTCCAAGAATCGGAGCTCAAGGGCACCCTGCTGGCTCATTGGGGGAGGGTGGGGGGGAAACATGCGACTCTTGACCTTGGGGTTGTGGGTGGGTTTGAGCCCTACATTGAGTGTAGGTAGAGATTACTGAAATAAATAAACTTAAAAAACAAAAAAAAAAGAAAAGGAAAAGAAAAAGGATCGCAGCTCAGAAGAAGGCCCCCCCTCCCTTCCTTCTGAGGTCCTCAGTTTATCTGCTCCTCACTTCTCCGGACCTCCCACCCTCCCCGTCAGATGGGGAGCCACCTGCTCTCTTCTTGGGATCCCTACCACTTGGTGCCCACGTCAGGGGCAGCTGCGAGAGACGGCTGGGGCCTGGCTCCTGGGCAGGCTGTGGTCACGAGGGTGCTGTGACAACCAGCCCCGGGGTGTTCCCCAGGCTGCTGGCTGCCCCCTGCCCGCTAATGGCTCTAGCTCTCACGGTCACGGCTGAAAGAGCCAGAATCATAGGCAGGAGCCTTTCGGGTCACTGGTTTGTACTCTTCATCTACAGAGGGCGAGGTGAGGGCCCAGGGCGGTCAAGGGACTTGGTGGCCAAGCTTCTCAGGCAGGCCCACCTGATGGCCGCTGCCCACTCTGGACCTTCATGGACTCCCCGTTTCTTTTGAATTTGGGGGCCAGGTGGGCCCTCCTCTTTCTTCCTGTCCTGCCCACATTCTTGGGTTTTCCTGTGACACCCTACCATCCTTGAGAAGTCCCCTTTGACGTTCGCAGTAGACAATGCCACCAGGAACCCTGGGCCATGGCCTTGTGGGCTTGTCATCGCCCTGCTTAGCTCCCATTTGTGCTGGGACGTTCAGCTCACAGCCAGCCTAAGCCTACAGTCTGCTGTTGTTACAGCCAAACAGGTTCCGTAGGGATGGCAGTCAAGAGGGTTTCTGTCCTACCGGCGTGTGTGAGAGGGATGTCTGGTGGGGGAGATCCTTGCTCACTCCACCTTCCTTCCGATTTGACAAGCCAGGGCCCTGTGTTTACATTGAGGGTGAGGTGAGAGGGGAGATGTGAGGCTCCCTCCTCCACCCATAAGCAACAAAACACCCTTTACACCAGGAAGTCCTTCCCTTAGTCTCACCTCAGTTTCCTATGCTTCAGTACCAGCCGCTGGGGGATGGTGTGCGTTTGGCCAGCCAGTCCAGCCAGTCCAGCCAGAGAGCACTTTTGGTTGTGAGACATGGGGCAGCCCTTTCCCCTGCTGCTGCTGTGTGTGTGTGTGTGGGGGGGGGGTTAGTTTCTTGTCTCAGTGGGTGGGGATGGAAAGTCACCCCTATCCAGGACCTTCCCAGCACAAGGCTCCTCCCTCTCTGGAACAAAGGCCCGGGGAGGGCTGGGGAAGCAGTTAATCGCTCTAACCTGTCAAGGCTGCTGATCACTCACCTCTTAGTGCCCTTCCTCCCCCTTCTGACTGACCCCCTGCCCTGAGATCATAGGCAGCACTCTAGGAGGGGCCTCCGAGAGCAAACCCCTGGTCTACCTGCCTCCCGTTTTACAGGGGAAGAAACTGAAGCCCACAAACACAGAACTCACTGTGACCCAGCCCCACCGCCCAGCTGAAAAGCAGGCCCAGCCCGGGGTGGGGAGAGATGTGCTTTCCGTATTGGGAACCGAGCAGCCCCAGGCAGCTGGAGCTCCTGGCTGGGGGCTCCCCAGGGAGGGAGGCCTCAGACGCTGGCAGTGACCCCCCAGGGCATGGGGGGTGGTTGTCGGTTATCAGACCCTCCCGCCAGCAGGCACCCGCTGCGTGGTCGTTCCGGTGACTTCCAGAGGCCGCACAGGCCCACGGGAAGACATTGTGCCTATCCCTCTGTCCCCGGGCCTTTCACTGCCCCTCTTAGGTCCCCTTTCCACAGCCTCCTCAGGTGGGCTGCTGGCGGTCCTTTCTCTTGTCCCATCTCCATTCCGTCTGCGGTCTGCACGTGCCTCTGTGGGATGGCACCGCAGCCTTCTCCCGGCCTGCCTCAACCTCCCCTCCTACTGTTGCTACTCTCTCCCCCTCCTCTCAGGGCTGTGCCCCTACCCGCCCTGCCTCTGGCATGAGCTCAGGGCCGTTTACAGAGCAGGAGCAGAGCAGGGAGGCGGAATCTGAAGCTCAGAGAGGGTAAGTGGCTTGCTCAAGGAAACACAGCCTGCAGAGGGAAGACCCAACATGGCTCCAGGGACCCTCGGCCGACTCCTGGGGATCAAACCCCCATCCTCCTCTTCCTCCTTCACTTCCTCCTTCTCCTCCTCAGTGTGCTCTGATTTCTCTTGGTGCCTCAGAGGGCCCAGAGGGGACGAGGAGTTGAAGGGCCCCTGTCTGTTTCTTCCCTTTGCCTAGAGCCCCCCAGGCCTGCGCTGGTTATGGCTTCTTGCCCCTGGGCCCATACAGTTCTTTCCGGCCCCGGCCCCGTGTACCACTGCTACCCATGAAGCTCTCCCACCCTCTTCTCAGGCTCTTCTCAGGCTCCTGCCTGCAAGGGGCCACCTAGGTTCAAGAGCTCCCCGGGCTGGGCCCATTTATGATATTTTTTATTTAACAAACAGAACCCACCTGGCACATGGTAAGTGCTTTTTAAATGCTTTTCAAAAATTATCCCATTTGATCCTGACCAGCCCATTACACGGATGCATACTGAGAAGCAGAGAGGTCAAATAATTTGCCTGAGATTAAACAGCTGGTCAGAGGTAGAACCCGGATTCAAGTCCAGGAATGGGGTTTTTCCCTCGGGCCCTTGAGGCCTTTACAAGGAGACAGGGAGGACATAAGTTAACAGACTGAGCTAACGACCTTCTCTGTAGGGTTGGTGGATCAGCTGGGGCTCTTTGGCCCCAGCGATCAGGGTCCCCAAGAGGCGGGCACCCATGGCTCCAGCGTCCTACCCTGAAGAGCATCCGTCTCAAGGCCAAGGCTCTAGGGTTGGGAGGCTCCAGTTCTGCGAAAGACCTCAGAGGGTGTCGCCCTGGCCCCCGGGCACCGGACCCCAGCCCCTTGGGCCCCCTCCCTGTGCCTACATATCTTTCCTGTCCCCAAGGCCAAGGCACAGGGTGGTATCAGCCCTGGCGTTCAGAGAGAAAAGCCGCCCATCCGAGCCAAATTACATAGCTCATGAAGCATTCCTTTTAAGGGATTAAAGCGGTTTCGAGAGGAGGTGGCTCTGCAGGGACCTGCCTCCCAGGGCAGCAGGCTGTTTTCCTAGGGCACACAGCCCAGCAGCGCAGGGCTCTGCACAGCCGGCCAGGCCCGGGGCCGGGGGAGGGAACGCGCCACCTCAGTGGATGGTTGTCCTTCTCCAGCTGTCATTTCCCCTCCTCATGCCCCGACCCTGGTCACACCCTGGGTGCGGGTGCAGGAACGCTGGTCTGGGCACATGAGTAGGGGGGAGGGGAAAACAAACCCACAGACCTGAGTTCAAGTCCAGACTGTATGCCTGGTGGTAGTGTGACCTTGGGCAAGGCACTTAACCTCTGGGATGCTGTCTCCTCATCTCTACAGTAGGGGAAATAGCCACTGGGGAGTGTGGCCGTGTAAGCCAGTGACACACATTTGCAAAGTTCCTGCAGAGAGCTGGGCACAAGCAGATGCTCCATACGTGTTACCTTCTTCCCTCTGCCCCTCTCTGTGGATGCCCACCTTACAGGGGACCCTAGCAACATGCAGGGGAACACCAAGGCAGGGGGACAAGTGCAGACAAAGACCAGGGTGAGGGCAGAAGGATGGGGCTCCGGTGTACTGAGTAGGAGGGAGAAGTTGAGTTTTCCTCATCTGTTAAATGGGCATAAAAGGACTTCTTTCATAAGGTTGTTGAGGGAAACTGAGGTAAATATGTAGAGCATCCAGTATGGTGCCTGGCATGTAGTTAGCAATTAATGCAGCTGTTACTATTATGATCCTTGTTTCTGGGCAGGGCAGGGGGGCAGAGCTGGGAGGGCCGATCTGGAGAGGTCTCTTGGAGGAGGTGAATGAGGAGTGGGCTCGGGGTGGGCAGGACTTTCTCAGAGCTCTTGAAGCCAATGCCCTGGGGTGGAGGTGGACAGGAGTGCCTCACACCAGCATACCGGCCACGGCAGTGGGGTATAGGAAGTCTGGGTGCTGGGGACTCACTCCCTCTCTCATGTGGGTGCCGGGGAGGCCTGGCTGCCTTGTCTGCTTCTGACTCGCAACACCGATTCTCTACATTCCTATCTCCTGACATGCTACTGCGGCATCCCTAATCCAAAGCCTCCTTCTGGAGGCTCCAGGTGCCCCTTTGGCCCTGCTGGCACTTCTGACCTCCGGAAGCTGAGCAGGGCCAAGGCCTGGAAAGGAGGGCGGACCCTTGGGAGCTCATCTCCTCTGTCCGCCTGCCTTGGAGTCGGACGGCAAACCATGTCTCCATCAGCCATTCCTATGAGGGGGTATCCTCCTGGCCACACTTGGAGCTCCTCCCTAGTGTCCGCCTAGGGGGACAGTGACCCCAAGCCACGAAGCACATTATTACCCAGACATCCCTCAGAGCCATCCCGGGGCCTCTTTCTCCCCCAATGCCAATCCTGGGGACTTCTCTCGCCAGCTCTCTGTTCAGAGCTAGCCTGCCGGCTCCTCATTGGCTGGGGTCAGGGGTGTGGCATGATGCTCCAGAAATACAGAGCTCAGCCACCTGCCCAGGTCTGAAGGTCCTTAGTTTTCAGTTATCAAACCCTTCTGCCAGCAGGCGTCCTACTTCAGGCGCCACCCCCCTACTTCAGCTCACCTTGCCAATCAGGGAGGCAAATTTATCATTGAGGACCTTCATCTCCTCCTTCTCCTGGTTCTTCTGCTGCTGGATGGCTGGGTCCACTTTGAGGTCCAGGGGCACCAGCAGGCTGGGGTTCACGGTTACCTTGGGGATGGTACCAGGTGCCTCGCAGCCTGTGAAGCTGCGGGAGCTGAAGCCCGGCCCGGGGGTCCCGCAGCTGCCCCATCCCGAGGTCCCAGGCCGGGGGCCGCCCGCAGGGGTCACCTCACAGCTGCTAAGGCTGCTGAAGCCAACGACGCAGGAGCGGCAGGCCATCGCGGCCCCCGGGCCCGGGACGCGGGAGGGCACGGGGGTGTGAGTGAGCCTTTGTGGGGTGGCAGGCAGCTGGCTCTGGTCGCAGGCAGGGCAGGCTGGGGACTGAGGAGCAAACACCTGTCCTACAGTGCTCATTAGCTCCAGGAGGGCGGGACGCCTCCCAGCCCGACCAACCTGTTAGATGATGCGATCCTCCTGCCCCTCCCCCGGCACCACGCACACATCTCCTCCCTGGGGCCTGAGACTTGCCTGCTTGAGGGGGCTGTTCACAGGCCCCCCCTATCGAGCTGGGTCTGGCTCCAGGGAGGGGGGCGGCGAGGCTGGGTTGGCTGGCGGGCTGGGTGGGGGTGCGGTGGTGGCAGAGTAAGGACAGACCCCAGGAGGAAGGAGAGAGAGGCGCGCAGAGAGCACCTCTCTCTGCAGACCTCACTGCATACCTGAAGGCTGACGTATCTGGGCTCACATACTTCTGGAAAAGATGAGGCAAGCGCAGGCCGTGCGCTCCCAGAGTGCAGGGCAGCCGTCCTGGGCGGCGTGCCATTTGGCACTAGGAAACAACACCTTTTTATTTATCTTCTAGCTGCCTAAGAGTCTCCCTGGCTTATCTTCTCTTCCTGTCTTCCCCCCCCCTTCCTTCCTTTGACCTCGGGTTTATTGAGCACCTACTAGCACATCCCACTGTCTCAGAGGCTGGAGAGGAAATAGATGGCCAAGACCAAGAGCCCTTGGCTTTGGACAGGTGAGACTCGGGCTCCAGACTCAGCCTGGCTGCTTGCTGCTGGGGTGACCTCAGGCAGGTTAGCTGACTTCTGTGTCCAGGATGGAAAGGCGCCCCCCAACCCCCCGCCATGGGAGGCAGTGTATGCACAGAACTTAGTGGAGGGCAGGACACGAAGCCCTCGGTGAATGGTGGCTAAGACCCAGGGCCTGCCTGTGGGGGGATGGCGGGGCTTGCATGCAGCTCTTCCTCAAGGGCTATGGGAAAGGGTCCCTGACCCCCATCCACCCCCTTCCCTCCTTTCCTCTGTCCTCCCTTCTCTTTCCCCTGTTTCATCTTAAGAATGAAGGATCTATAGAAAAGATGCCACGTGGTTCCCACAGAGCTTCAGGTGGGGCGGCAGAAGGTTCAGTGAGCCCACAGTGTCCCCTCCATCCCACCTTCCCTCGATTCCGGAGGCCCCTCTCTCTCGCTTCCGTGGTCACTCGCTCTCTGGGGCCTGCTCTTCCTTCCTCCCTGGCCTGATGTCCCTGGATACTCTTGCCCTGGCCAGCTGGCCCTGTGTGCCCTCCCTGGGCCTGGCATGCCACTCTGGGGTGGTGGGGCCACAGCAGGGAGAGACTCAGGTGGTCAGGGGTGGAAGAGCTCTCGGCCCCTCTGGGACTGGAGGAAGAGACAGGCTGGAGCTGGGGAGCCACTGCCCCAACCACGTGGCCCAGTCCAGGCCTCCCGCCTCCCAGGCCAGCCCTCTTTCCCACAGAGTGGGTACTTCTGGCTCCCCAGGGCACAGCAAGCTGTCCCGAGACTGAGACTGTATCCTGAGCCTGAGTCCCCGGCATCAGGTACTTCTGAGTGACCAGGTCACTGTGATGGTGTCTGTGTCCCCCACTTCTGACACATGCTGCCCCATTCTCCACTCAGCACCCATTGCCTGGCCCACCCCAGCCTCCCTGACCTGGTATCTGGATGGCATGTGGTTCACCTCAGTGGCCTACCCTCCCCCACCCCGGCTGCCCATGCGTGCTCTGTGGGGACAGGGGAGGCAGGCAATGCTGACATGTCAGATATGTCCCCGATGCTTTATCTGGTTTAGTTCCCTTAGTCCTTATGACACTCGAGGTGGACAAGTTAGTTCTCATCAGCCTCAATTTGCAGAGGAGGAAACTGAGGCTCAGAGGGGGTTAAGTGCCTGTCTAAGGTCATATCGTTTATCAGGGATAGATTCGAACGCAGACCATTGGAGTTATGAGCCCTCCCTCTTATCTTAGCCTCTGAGCCTGGAGACCCCAGAAAGGGCAGTGGGGACACAAGAGGAACTGTCTTCTCGCTGTCCGGGCCTTGGCTGTACCTCCTCATTTTCTCTGAGCTGATGCCCCAGTTCTCAAAAGCGCCTCTGCATCACTGAAGTCTGCCGTTTCTTGCTGACTTGTGCTGACGTCTGTCAGCCTCTGAGTTGTAACAAGTCACAGTTAATGGCCGAGCTTCATGGCCGGCATGCCAGGGCCGTCTCTGGGGCCCCCGAGCACTGCATGGCCTTCCTTGGGGTGGCCGGGCCTCTTGGAGGCATGGAGGGGGTGGGACATGGGTCCTGCTGTCTTCTCTCTGGCCCCGCAGTCTCTCTTGGGTGCAGTCCTGGAGGTGTCTTTGGCTGTCACAGCTCTGGCTGCCGAACAGGAAGGGCAGCGGAAAAGCTCTGAACACAACTCCTGGAAGCAGCCAGCCCCTCCGCCTCCCCCCGCCTCTCTCCCTTCCCTCTCCGAGCTCCACCCACACCAGCCTCTAGCCCCACACTGACATCCTTGGGCGGGGGGACAACTGTACAGGACCCTGCCTCTCCAACCTCACTGGGGACCCGATGTGACCCTCACCTGGCCTTGGTTAGGAGCCGAACCACCTAGGGTTTCAAGCCTCCCAGGGATCAGGAAGCCTGGCAGGGGAGGGGTTGGGAGAGGGGAAATGGAAGGTGGGTGGAATTTTCAGTCTCTGTGGGGATGCTCAGGTACCTGGACAGTCTCCACACCCCTCCTAGATGTACTCACAAACAAACCTACTTTGGGTTTCAGGTGGGGCGAGAGCTTGGGTGACCCCAGCTGGAGATAGCATCTGGATGTCCCAGGCCCCTCTGGGATTCTGGAGGCCTGTCCCGGTTGGTCCTTACATGGTCCAGGGACAGAAATCTCAGTCCCCCTCCCTCTGCCTTGAGCCTCGCTCCTTTGCCCCTGGTCTCCTGGAACTGGTGACAGATGTAATTCTGCTCCTCCAGGAGGCAAGGGCTGGCTGAAGGTAGGGCAGGGGGTTGGCTCGGGCTGGGCTGTCCCGCAGGCCCCTGAAATGGGTCCTCAAAGAAGAAAAGGGGGGTTTTCTCATTTTCTCTGCTTCTTTCTTTCTTCCATCTCTCCATGGCACTCCCTCCCAACCTCGGGTCTGTCTCCCTCTTTGTCATCCGCCTCTTCTCTCTTGCTTCCCTGCCCACCCATTGCGCTCAGAGTGTCCTGCCCACTCAGAGTCCAGGTGCAGGGCTCCTTCGCTGCCTCTCAGCCCTGGGGAGGAGAGGTGTCTGAGTTGGTCCACACAGGCTGGCTAGGTGGCCTTATGGGGATGGCATCGTGTGTCACAGTTTCAGTTTCTGCTCTATGCTTTGCTCCCCGTTTGGCCCGAGGCCTGGCCCTTGGAGCCAACAGGCTTGGAATAACTCAGAATAGCAATGCATAGTTGCTGGATGAATGTTCCAGTGAACACATCTTAGCCCAGCTGGGGCTCTGGGGCGGGATGTGGCTCTTGGGGAGACAGGCAGGGACTTTCTGTGCAGGGAAGAATCTTCGTTTCACTCCGTGGCCTGGTGGGAAGGCGAGGTCACTCCTCCAGGAAGACTTCCCAGATGAGCCTGCTCAGGTTCCCGTTGGTGTCTCTTCCTCTCTCCCAAAGGCACATCCACATCTTTGTGCACTGAGTCAGGGCCCTCTTGCCTGATGAGGCTAGAAACTCCGACCTCCTTCCTCTGGACTGTCCCTTTGAGCGGGCCTGTCCTGAGGCTGCAGGAGGGAGGCTCTGCCCCGTGGCAGGTCTCGGGAATGGGATGACCTAAGCTCTGCGCAAAGGATTTCTGAGGGCTCCAGAGCTGGGGGTTGGGGAGCTGCGAGTAGATTTGGGAGGGGCAAGGGCCAAGAAAGGGGACCTAACAGCAAGGATGGAGAAATTAAAACAATGCCTGTTTACGCTTCCTTCACACCCCAGGCAGGCTACAGAGACCCGGGAGAGACCCTGACCCGTGTGAGGGTGTCTGGGATACCTTCCCAGAGGGGGCAGGGAGCAAAGACTTGAAGGGAGGGGAAGAGCTGTCCAGGAGGGGAGGGAAGGCTGTTTCAGGCTGAGATAGCAGCAAGAGCTGTGGCATAAGGGATGGCGTCGGGGATGGTGGCGATGACAAGAGCCACTATTACTGGAGTTCCAGAGGTGCCACGAAGCTCAGAGGAGCAAGTGACCGCCTTGGGGGCCCAGGGAGGCTGCGTTCAGGGCATTTCATTACTTTGCATGAAGTCTTTCAGTGGCTCCCTGTGGATGATGGGATAAAGTCTGGAAGATTCCTTGGGACGTCAAACAAGATCCTTTGCTCCTACTGCCCTTCTTCTTTGTGTCTCATCTCCTTCCTACCCTCCTTCTCCCCACAGCCCCTGCCAAGTTCCACCCCACCACCCTGGCCCCATTTCCCCAGAACCTGCTGAGTGATGCCATGAGTCCGTGTTGGAGAGCGTAGGTGTGGAACATTTCTACCCTCGAGTATGATTCTACTGGACGGCGCTGCCCTGCCAGTAGGCATCTGAATGGGCCAGGAGGCTGCAGATTCCTTCAGACTGGGAAGGGGTTCAGGAGACGCTAGCAGGGCCGCACGGTGGTGGCGGAGCCCCGAACCTGGGCACGGGAGACCTGGTTTCTGGTCTGGGTTCCGTCACTCGCCAGCTGTGTGGTTTGGGGCCACATGGTTGGCCTCTCTGGGCCTCAGTGGCTCTCAAATTCGGTTGTATGAGCTACGTGGACGATTGCTGTTTTTTTAATTAAAAGTTTTTTTTCCCCTCCCATTTTGTTCAACAGATGTTCCTCAAACTGTTGTCAACTCCCTCGCTCTGCTGGGTGAAGCGAGCTTTTCAGTCAGCAGTGTGCTGGAGAGATCAGACAGAGTTGTGGGTATTCTATAATGAGGGCAGGCCTCGGGGGCCAGGGAGAGGTGAGCATAGGCTAATTACACTTTCCTGTCTTCATAGCACTTAACCCAATTTGTAATTATTTGTTGTTGGTTGTTTATTTGTCCCTGCTTCCCCTGCCAAGCTCTGTGAGCACAGGAAGTGTGTGGTGGTTTTTGTCCCCTCGGTGTCCCAGTGCCTGGCAAATAGTGGCGGCTCG